AATAACTAGCACTTTGCCCGGCCGGTTGGTCGGGTGTGGACGTGTGGTTATTCCATTTATGGTCCGCTTTGGTGTCCTTTTAGCCCGTTTGTTTGTAGTAAATAGTTGTGATTCTCTTTTTCTTTTCACAATATTGTATTTTCAATGGTGTTAGTGGCAACCTTAATTTGTGGTTGAAACGTTATGTCATAAGATCCATCTGCCTATTCCCCTTTGTTACAACCTAGTTAATGTAACTTCTGTTTGGCCCTTCGACAATGTAAAGCAAAAACCTATTGGGTTTTTTTTATATAGAAACCTGTAATTTTATTCATAAATCATGTCATCCTTCACCAAAGAAGAAAGGATAGCAATAGGAGGCCTTATGGTTCAGAATTCTGTTTGGTCCCAGATACATGCCAAATGGACTATGGTATGTGTCGGTTCATTACCGGTCCGTGAGGTTTTTCCCATGTATTCTTCCACTCCGATCTTTCCTCCTTCTCCAAAGTGTGGTGCGATTTAAACTCTTCCCAATAGTCTAGGGCATGACGAATGATTTCCCATTCCTTCGCTTTTTTTCTTATTGAACATATGATTATTTCATTCATTCCAGATCAACCACAAAATGATGCTTAGTTTCTCTAGCATTTCATCCTTCGTTCGATCCATTACTGCACATAGCCAACTGCTAGATGATAGGTTAGGTTCTAGCTCTAATAGTGGTCTGAACATGGACGATCTCCAAATGCGAATTGCCCACTGACATTCCCTCAATATATGATTATGGGTTTCCTCCAGATTGCAGAAAGGGCATTCCACTGTCGCCTCTTTCTTTCTCAGCTCGATGTTCTTTCCTATTGGAAGAATTTCGTGAGCTAGTCTCCATAGGAATATTTTGACCTTTGGCCACCTATTGAGTTTTTAAACAATGCTATCATGACCTTTTTTCCACCTATTGGAGTGCAATTGTTCCTACTCATCACAGCATCGCTGACTGAGCTCCTTGTAGCTTGTAAGCAACCCTTGGGTGATAAATTTTTTTCTTGTTGCTTTGTTTATTTTTGTTATCAATAATGTTGAATTGTTGGATGAGCTTCAATAACAAATCATATACCACTTCTCTATTCCTATATATATAACCCTGATAATATCTCGGTGCAACTGTGAACCATTATTTATGCTAGCTTCCAAGTTCCATACTCTTACAGAGCATTAGAACATGTTGCTTGCATTTATGTATGTATAAGAGTCACCGTAAATGTGATCCATAATCTCAGCTGTTGCATATTTGTAGTGGTCGTATTTATATAAAGATCACCACATTTACTTGGAAGAATGTTAGCCCCCCTGATTCACTCAGTGTTGATGCCTACTCCTCGGTTGTCGAATTATTGTGACTTAATTATAGGTTTATATTGACACATAACTAATAGCCAACAATAATTAGCTATTGATGTAAAGCTTAAATATATTTTCTAAGCTAAAGGGCTCAACTATTTATTACATCCAAGGTATGCTTGTGTCGGAAATTCCATTCATTTATCCTACCACTAATGTATGCTTCATATGTTTTGGCATAGGATCTGGAAAAAAAAATTGCCCACTATCCATATCATTCGAACACTATTCACCGGGGGAAAAAGAACACTCCGATTTTTTAATAAAATATTGCGACAACTTTCATCCAATGCAACATACAACTTCTATCAGCCTTTTTAATTTGGTGGTGAATTACATAACCTCTATTGTACATTTCAATATATATATTTCTCAACATTTTCCAAATCAATATTTACAATTAACTCGATATTCAAAAATTATTTATTTCTCGATTCAACTTTTAAGTGGCTTCAAAATGTTATTTATAATTGAACCTAAAATGCCATGGTTATTCTTTGGGGTTAAATTAACCATAATCAAAGTTGGAGGCCGAAAGCCAACGTCCACACTTAAAGGGAGGATTTGGTTGGCAAATATGCGAAATTAGATATCGAAAGCAAATACAATTTTGTTGAACGGTGAAGTTGAAAAAAAAATTAATAGAATTAACAGCGGCGAAAAGAATGGATTTTGTGCATGCAAAAATAGTGAACAGAGAGAGTGCCAAGGAGTTCACTGCGATTTGCGAACTGTTTTCGCTGGTGTCTGATTGAGAATTTCACCAATCCCTTTCATATGTAGCGGGCCTAAATGACAGGGACATTAAAATGCTCATGTGAAGGCCTACATAACCAGGCCAATAAAATCCCTTTCATATTTTGCAGTAATCGGGCCATTTAAATGCTCATGTGAGGGCCTCCGTCCTGGCCCTGCTGTGGTGTTTGAGCTAGGATTATAATCTAGGTGTAATTTGTCAGAAATGCCCCTCCGCAAATTAGGGGTTTCTTTTCAATAGCTGAGTTGGCAAAAGTCGGATACACACTCCTGTATATATATATCTGTTGATGTTGACAATAAAAAGTCCTTCGATCAACGATCATAGAAAAACTCCACTGATTTTCTTCATGGACCAATTTATGACCAAATTTTTAACTTTTGGATTAATTTAATGTAGAGATTAAATTATACTTTTAGGTTCCTGCCTAAGGCTGCAAATGAGCCGATTCGAGTCAAGTTTTACCCCAGGTTGAGCTTGGCTCGTTAATGAACGAGCTGAGCTCGGGCTCGAGCCATTTATTAACGAGCTGAGTCAAGTTGAGCTCGAGATAGGCTTGGTTACTAAAATCTTTATTTGACACTTCATTTTGAATGTCATGTATGATACATGTGATTAACTCATCTCATATTATACTTTGTTGGCAACATATTATGTAGTTAATAAATTTTAACTAGTCCAAATCGTGTTATTTAACAATATCGAAGCAATCTGTGATATAAAGATTCTTTTAAAATAAAAAAATAATATTTATTTGCTCACATACTAAGCGTGTTAAACTTCATATAGGGTGAGATATATAATTTAACAATCTTATGAATTAAATTCATTAGATATATATCGATTCGCCCATAAGTAGGTAATCGAGTTTGCTCTCTAGCCACAATGTGTGACATCTCATGAGCTTTATACGAGCCAGCTCACGAGTTTAGCTCAACAAGCCACCAAGTTCTATGGGTTGTTGTGGGTTCAGGGTTCTCTTTGTGGCCCCTTTTGACAGGGACGGTTCGCTGTATGGGATTGGGTGGAATGGGTCGGATTATGAATAATCTGTTCGTACAGAAAGTGTCCGGTGAACTTTGTTAGAAGCACTGGTGGTTATTCGTTTTCCATTTCCCACTTTTGTGTTCTGGTTTTGGTTGTGGGTTCTGTTTCACTTCTAATATTTCTGTTCTGTTTGAGATCGAAGCTCGAGGTGTCAGTACTATGAGTTTATGTTTTCTCACGGAAGGCATTGATGGAAAGCTTTCAGTAATCAATGGGTTCTTCATTTGGTCTCTGTGTGTTTAGTTCTCCAGGGAAGAAATGTTGTTGCTGTACCATCACTTTCATTGTTTTTTTTTTTTTTTTAATTCCCTTTCGTCAAACGCATCTGTAACTGTATGTTAGACCATGAGCATTGTAAAGACTATAAAATGCCTCCGTGAGATTCTGACAGCAGTAGCACCAATGAAGAAACAATAATGAAGGCTGCTGGCGATATGGGAAGTTTTAAGGAGCACCCAAGTAGGGTCCGTTCGAAGTAGACACCAAGTTTCATACAAAGAAGACAATCAAAAGTGACAATGAAGATCTTAGTATCCCTAGGGAAAAAAGGGCAAAATGTGCTACTGAAGAGGATGTTGGGAATGGTGTATGAGAGGATACATCTGAAGGGGCTGTTGCTGGAGAAAAGAACAAGTTGAATCCAGATGGCTTAGTGAATGAAGATGAGAAGATAGTCCAGGCATCTGCTGTAGACACTGAGACTTTTGCTCTTCCCGATTCTGATTTCAACGACTTTTAACAAAATCCGTGACAAGAAGGGCTCTTTTGAGCTAGATCCAGCTGCTCCCTGAGAAAATGGATCAGGGTCTTTCATCTGGAGCGTGTGAAATGTTTCAACTCGGTTTTCAGAGCTCAAGCAGAGAAGGAGGGATCATCTGTTGTGGTGAAGTCCGAGTTGATTCCGTTCTCTCACCAGATCCCTGCTTTCCTCCTGACAAACGAGAAAGGTGGCAGCTTGAGAGGGTTCTGGGAACTTGATATAGCAGCATTGCCAGTTCACTATTTTAGTTGACAGCATTTCATGTAGTCAGCCAACAATGGTGGCAATTGTTGGTTTCTACTCAAGAGACTTACCTTCTTTTGTTTTATGGTCATTCTAGGATTTTCGTTTTAAACTTAAATATGATTAGCACTTTTCATTATAGGCCTAATTTGTGACTGTAGCAGGATTATGGGATGGAGATGCAGATATCAACCATGACCTAGTGTACTTTATTTTGTAGTCTGGAAAGCCTCTAGCAAACTTTTTGATGTTGGGTGGAATGAAAATGAATGTTGAATGGCAGGTTCAGTAAGCAAAACACCTGGGAGTACTCTTTATCTTCATGATTTCTCGTAATGGGTTTTCAGCAAAAGAGAAGAGCTAACTCTGGAAAATGGACTATGGGATGGAAATACAGATATCATCCATGACCTAGTGTACTTAAATTTGTAGTCTGGAAAGCCTCTGGCAAATTTTTTGCTGTTGGGTGGAATGAAAATGAATGTTGAATGGCAGGTTCAGTAAGCAAAGCACCTAGCAGTACTCTTTATCTTCATGATTTCTCAGAATGTTTTTTCAGCAAAAGAGAAGAGCTAACTCTGAAAAATAGAAACTCAACAGAGGGGGAAAACTTATGGGGCATTCCGAGAATTGAACTCGGGACCTCTCGCACCCTAAGCGAGAATCATACCACTAGACCAAATGCCCTCTTGACAATAAATATGACATCTTTATATTCTTATAATCTGTTCTTGGCTAAGAGTGAAATTGGCAAATGTATCAAGTTAACTTCTAACCTAATGCACTTCTCAATTTCCCCTCCCAAAAGGCAAAAACGCGCCAACCAATCTCTCCCTCCACTTCCGGAAAGCTGTGTTTTCTCACTCCACTAGCTCGCTTCCCGCGCGGCAATTGTTCTGCTTCTGGCCTGTAATCGCGGCGCTGCTCTTCTTCCTCTAAGTTCTTCCCTTCCGCTGATTTTCTTCTTTTGGATTTCGACGGCGAACTGAGAGGGAGAAGGAATGGTTTCCATGGGTGACTGTTTCGGCGGTGCGGTTCGATTAGCGGAGGACGACGCGACCACCGATTTTCCCGACGGCGATACTCAGCGTTTAGATTCTCAATGGAGTTCGCCTTCCTCATCAGGTAATCTCTGATAACTCTCTGGCATTCCTTCTTCCCGAAGTTTTGTTCGTCGTGGAGCTGTCGATTTAGGGTAAAGGAACAGTTCGTTTGGATCCGATGCTCGAATTTTTGAACTTGATGATGGTTTCGGTCACGTTATCCTCTTTATTAAGTTTATATAGCTTCAATTCTATTTTCCAGAGTTGGTCGATTCCTCGCGATGGAGATTGAACACTCCAATCGAAGGATTTTTCGTGGAGAAAAAATTGGGATTTGTGTTGTGTAGAAATGGAAGTTAAAAATGGCTGAGAATGCAAGTCTGATTCTAGGTATGACCGACCTGATCATGAACATAGATAGTTATACGTGTATGGAGTTGGTGATTATATGGTTTGATTTGTTATCTTTAAGGGGTTTTGTTTTCACCTGCGTTGGGAAAAATTGATTTACCAGGCGGAAAAGGTGGCTATGATGATGGCGACTTGTATATGGGGACAAGAAAGGTTTCGTTTGATGATACTCTTCTGGTTGAAGATGTTTTTGAGACCCAAGTTGTGAACTATGGGGATGAAACACAAGTACTGGATGATGCTGATCTAGATTTGCTTGGGAGTACATGCACCAGGAGGATTGATGATGAGTTCAGTGATCGAGTGTCTCTCGATAGTGATGGTGAAGGTACTGACGCGACTGCAGTTTTGGAAAGTGGGGAACGAGCTCTCTGATTCCGAATCCGGGAGAGGAGGAAAGCTTGAAGAATTGACGGGGGAGAAGTTTGTGGATGAAGCAAATAGTTTGTCCAACCAGAAGCCCAGATCAGGTATGTGTTTCTGAAGCTTGTGATCTTTTTTGAGGCTTGGTTCACAGTCACAACTGCATCTTTTGGTCTTGTAATGGGCTCGGTTCCCCTAAGTTACATGTCTTGGGTTTGCATTTTTTCTTCTTTCCCATATTTCCATTCTAGAAATGTTGGATAAGATCGGTTAAGGATAAGCTGCAAACTAATTGTGCATGTCACTCTCGCGGGTTGTAAATGAGTCTGGCTGAGGTGCTTGCACCAAGTGACGCATGTGAGTTTTTAAATGGTCTAAGGTTGCTTCGGATATCTGTTACACCAATAGGTTGAGTTGGCTAATTTATATCTCGGTAAATTGTGTCTATCTAGAAGACTTGTGCATGCATTCTGCGCTGTTTATGATAAATCAGGAAATTTTCTGTATATTTCTAGCATAATCTTTCAAAATTGTCTATACATGAGTCCCACATGTTCCTACTAATGAATATCTATCCTCCTTCCAGAATCTGTCCTACTTTCCTCGGAGCATTTAGCTTCTGGAAAGAGCATTCTGAGAACAAGTGGTTGTGATGAAGGCATGAAGCAATCTTGGAATCTAAGTCAGGACAAAACATTGTCCAATAGAAGGAACCGGAGATTGGAACTAAGTCCAAGGTTGATTATTGTATAGTGAGAAGACTGTTCTCTACTGATTCTGTTGCTAAAGATGGTGATCTCTGTCATAATAGTAGCATCCTTGATGGAGCAAAAGACAATGCACGACCAACCACTATTAATGTGGAGTTTGCAGGGTTAAGTTATGCAGACTCGCAAGAACCTGGTGATGCATCACAAGCTGATGCTCTCGCATTTGTGGAAAGGTTAATTGAGGAGACCAAATCCTCATTCGATGTTGAAGTTAATCTGGGATACACTGGTGGAGAAAATTCAATTGTGTATCAGCTGCAAAAGGCCCACTAAGTTTGGCCAAGAAAACCCTCAAAAGAAGCATTCAAGAAAGAGCTGGGATCTTTGACTGGGATGACAGACTGGAAGATGAGGGAGGTGGAGATATTTTCATTAGAAGAAAGGACGATTTCGTTGGAGTCAGGTCGTTGTCAACTTCCCCCAAGGGCAGATCAAACCCACAGAAGGGAAATAAAAGGGAATTTTGAAGTTGAGAATAGGGCGACTGTACAGTCTGATTCCAAAATAGTACTTCAGAAGTTCAAGATAGCTGAAAGCAAAACTAGGAGAATTCTGAAGAAGACCAGAAAAGATCTTCTGAATGAGTTGCATGACCAGGCTAATAGGAAAAAATTAACCGGACCTCGTGAAGACATCACTGTTGCTCCAGATTTTTCCGATGCTGGATTGGGCACCCAATTAGCTGCTGAAGCCATGAGGGAATTGTTGAACGGGGACCCAGTTCCTGACTTTGATGGTAATGATGCCAAGGAAAAGCATTCTGTGGAACAGTCTCTAATGAGAAAAGCTAAAAGGCGTGCTTCTTCAAAGCAACATGCTTCTTGTGATCCTTCTGAGATTCAAGTTGACACAACGCAGTCAAAGAAAAGAAAGACCCAGTTAAAAGTTGCCGATGCCATGGAATCCAAGGAACAAAAAGAGTCTCCGATAAGAAAAGCTAAAAGGAAAATGTCTTCAAAGAAATGTATTTTTCGAATTGGTTTTCAGCCGATCGAGAGAGTTGGAAGATCTGCTCTGAAGGATGACACACTCATCGAAGACCTGTTGGTTCTATCCAGCAATGAAGATTACGAAGCCTGCATTCCTTTCCTCGAGAGAGGTACACCGTACTTCTACTATGCCTGTTTTCTCGTACTTGCAGGGAAACAAACGATTTCAATCGAATTGCTGACACGCGTTTGACGCTGTATGCTTCCAGGGGCCGCTGTCTACGGTTCAGAGCTGCTCCTGAATGGAATCGTTACGAAGAAACTAGAATACGACAGGTTAGTTAGCTTCCCTCTTCTTCTGCACCATTTGCCAGTAATAAATGCTTTCTGGAGATTAGGGTTAACTGGTTGTCTTATGCTTGCCAAACAGGCATAGGCTCTTTTTGGATAATGTGAAGAGAACCAGGTCTACTATATGGGTTAATAAAGATGGCCACAGTTACACTCCTGTTGTGATGAACAAGTAAGACCCTAGGTCTGTTCTTATTTTCTGCTTTCCTAGGGTTGTAAATCACTAAATCTTATGGTTCCTGTTCCATTTGAAAAGAACAGTGATGTTGGTATATAAATACAACTAACAAAGTGGTCATTATATATTTTTAACAAATTTGTTACTGATGTTTGCACTAATATCATGGTTGGTAGGCATTCTTTTTCCTATCTGGTTCGTTCTTCCTTTAGATTCTGCAGACTGCATGCTAACTCATCTGAAACAACAATAAAAACACAGATAACAGTTGGATAAGTATATGTTGTGGGCGAAATATCAAAACACATTGACAGAATGACTATTGTGCTAGTTCAAACTTCAAAGACAAAAATTGCCTATTCGGCATTATTCGAGCACTTAATAATGGTTTTTGAAACCAATCCTAATGTTTGTAGCTCGGAGGTTTCCTGCAGCACCAAATCTATTGTTCGGAATGACAGAAAACATGATATTGACTGAACAGTAAACACATTCATTTTCTTCTTTTAGGCTGTTTACAAACACTAATTTACATCCAAAAAACAACAAACTCTAACGCAATTGGCTCCCTCATGAAGTGAGGTATATAGTATAGAGAGAACACCTTAGGGAATACAAATGAAATAATACTTTGTAACATTTGCTTTCTTCTATACTGTCTTCCAAAAGCTCTAATGGTACCACTGAACTGGCACCAAAAATTCCTTCTACAAGGTGGATGGATCTAACTAGCTCACGAGGAGAGGACTGCTCCAAGTCTCCTAGATGTCGTCGTGAGTTGGAGAAGTGCAATGCCTGAACAATGTGTTGATGCCCATGGCAAACACCATACCGATTACCGAACCCAACATTATGGAGTACACCGATTCCACCTTCAACTGCCCGAGAAAACAAAACCCAGAAAAGGTCAGTGACTCGAACTGGCCCATGCGAAAACTGTCATCGAAAACTCTGTATATTCGAATCCTGTTAGAGAGTGCACGAGTGGGCTCACCATCATGTAAGAGAGGTGGATTGCCACCGACACGAGTGCGAACTCGAGTACTGCATATTTCCATACTTGTTCTTTTATCTCTGCATCAACTTTCCAGGATTTGTCAGGTTATAAGATTTGTCAGTGCAAATTTGGGTTTTCTATCACACAAACGTACCTAGAATTACAGCAAAGATTGATGCCAGAATCCCCAAGCCAAATGCAAATGGCGCTGCAATAGAGAGCCCACGAGACGTCTTCTCCTGAATCTTCAGAAATATTTGCACAAAACGTCAGCGGATTTGAAGCCAGTGTCATTTTGCACCCTGAACTTTTATGAAAATTGTACAATGTTCATACCAGAAGAAGCTCCAGGACGAAGAAGTACCCTATCGTGCTCATCAGCACCAGACACAGAAACTCCTGCACTGAACTGCAAAGTTCGAAACTTTAAGCAGAACCCAGAAAGGAAAGCAAGAGCTCAGTAGGTGGTTTTTAGCTGTTACCTTCTTTCGTTCGTAGTCGCCCAGGTCTGGCTATCTAGGTCCTCGGTTTCTTCTTCGGTCTTCGCCAAGCTGTCTTCCCGGAAAACGATCACCGGTAAATTGGTAACCTCCTGATCGCATATCTCGCAGATTTTGTTCCCTTTTGTGCTGAACCAGCTCACTGCGCAATCTTCGTGCACCAACCTGAGATCGCCTTTGCAACTGCACGCCATTTTCATCTTGATCCCTTCCCTCATCGTGTCCAGGCAGATCCTGCAGATCCCGGCGTCGTCGTCTTCGGAAAATTTTCTGTCGTGGCCGGTCTCGATGACGATGGTTGGGACCTTTGGATCTGGATCATTGGGGGAGGAAAGAAAATATGAATTCATAGGGAAGGTAGAAAGCACGCAAGGTGTTTGTGAAAATGCGTCAGTGAGCAGACGGCTTTGCGCGCTAGGTGTTTGTGGAAATGCGTGACTGACCTTTGGAAGGATGTACTAGGAGCTGCTGCTCTTTCGGCGGCCGGCGGTCTGAGCCTGGGGCCGAGGCTGAGATAGGAGCCGTGGGTGTGGCGGGAAGCGAGTTGCAGTCTCGCCAGCAGAGCGGTTGTCTGTTCTTGGTAGGACTGTCTGGAGGAGCTGTGTAGAGTGAACTGAGACAGAGGCTCCTCCGTCCACCACCACCACCGCCGCCATCGTCGAATATGGAGCTGTTGATCTTGAACCGCAAGCTGTGACAGTGGAGTATGCCTTTCCCAATGCAGCTGTCAGCATAACAAGGGGCTGGTCCGATTGGGATCTCGATCGAAAGATGCGAGCTTTTGCTGCGCCCTGAAACTTTTACGTCCGAGACGGGCCACCCATTTTCCAGATCGACCTGAAAGAATCAGGAAACCTGAGAATGATCAGCTTGAGAAAATTCTGGACATTTGGCTCATGGAAATGGTACAATCCCCTTTTCCACGCATCAATGACTTGGTTGATTGATCCCGGATTGAACTGAACCGGATCGAAGGTACTAATTCAATACCTTCTCATCATCTAAGTGTCATTAAACTTTTCAGGTGACAAAATTTACTTCTCACAACACAGAAGATCCATTCTAGATGGATAAGCCAGGTTGACTGATCAATTGAATCAAACCAGATCATGATAACCCGAGCGAGACGAGAAGACAAACCTGGAGATCAGAAGGGGAGGCTGCTTCTACATCAAGATCAGAACCTTGCATCTGTAAGTTTTTTTTTTTTTTTTTTGTCTTCTTCCTTCTCCGTCAACAACCTTGTGCGAGCTTGAAATTCTGAGAAATGGGTTTTCTTCTCCACTTTGCTGAAACAGAACCTGAGAGACAAAATGACAGTAACCATCAGGTGTTTGTCGTGGAAGGAAACATCATAAAAACAAACGGCAGAATTATGATCCGGGAGAAGAACCAAGTAGGTAGATTACACACAGCTGCGCCTCGAGCCGGCCAAAACAAGTTCAGGGTTGATTCGGACGCCAATCAACGACGATGTTGGATCTTCTCGAGCAGCCAGCAATAAGAGACAAGGTCAGTGAAATTAAATTAATGATGGGGATTGGGGGAGTTCAAGTGGTACAGAGCATTGTCAAATCTTCCCGACATTATTATATGCTTTTGTAGTAATCAGGAAAGGATGATGAATGTCGGATTATCCGTTTGTTTGTTTGTTTGTTCTGTCACAAAGTGTGACTCGGACAAAGGCAGAAAAAGTGATGGGGAGGCCGGCCTTGTGTGGCGCTGTTTCATGTTATGTTCTTTAATTAGGGAGAAGCTCTATCCAGTTATTTGCGCTTCTGGCGACACTGAACCACTTCGCCCCAGACTCTCGAGAATGTGTTAGTGGATGTGGTTAATGGTGGATTTTTACTTGTGAAGATTCATACATGTTATCCACGAATTTACGAATTGCGAATTAGTAGTTGTACTAGTGAGTTTGTGGATGAGATGTGTGAATCTCTATGAGATAAATGTATAAAAAAAAAAGAAAATAAGAGGATCTGGATTTGTATGCTTAACTGGTTTAAACTATGTGTCTTACTTGAGATTTCAGTTTCTTGGTAGTGTTTTAATTTTGGATATGTTTCCTGTTGTTGGGTAGTTGTTTTTTTGAATTGATGATATAGCCACTCATCTCCAATTTCTCTCCAATTTAGTCATTTGATACTCTAAATTAATTGGTGATTTACAATATTACTATTAATTTTGTAACATAATACGATCCTGCTTGAACTTATAAAATCCTTATCAAACAAGAAAAATTAGCCACAAAAACATTCAAATTGTTAAATACGACATGAAATGGTACAAGGAAATGCTATAAAAATATGCATTTTGTTATAGACTCTTATGATAGAAATAACGGTTAGGACTTTGCCATGATGACTTACAAATTACTATGATTTGAAGAAAACGGCAATCCCCTTTTGGTAAACGGTCGATTCTGACATTGTCGATTGGATGAATAAAGTGAAATCAACGTATTTGGTTATAGATGTCCAATGTTAATAGATATGCTTGCTGGTAAAGTGCTGAAGTGAGTACAAAATATGGAGCATACATGAGAAGTTTCTCAGGTCATTGTTTTCTTGTATATTTGGAAGCTCGTTTGCGGGGTTGTTTCTTATATTTGACTTATTCCATAAATACTTTCACCTATCATTTAAATTCTAATTTTGCTTGTGTTTGTAATTTTATAATTGTCTATTGATGAAACAACTTTTCCTTTTATCGTTGTTATGAAGAGACTTAAAAAGTAGGGTATTGTTGTTGCGAACAAGGGTTTGACCTGATGTGATGATAATATCACTAGTATTGAACTTGGAGGTCTCATATTTGAATCCTTTTAGTGGCACCTAACTATAAAAATCAACATACACCCCTTTATGCAATTGTATCATCTTCATCGTCCATAAATTTCAAAACATCTTGCTTTCACAAGTTCTTATTCAATGTCAAAAGATGTGCCTTTTTTTGTCTAAGCCGATAATCTTCCTTAAAGTTTGGTTTCCCGTGAGTGATAAGATGTTACATTACTAGAAAATAATTTCGTATTGTGGGCCTCGTTTTGTTCATTATTCTCCGACTGTAAGTAAAGTAAGTGTTTCATCCAATTCATTATTTGTTGGAAACGGTCAACCATTTGTCGAAAGAGCTCGATCGTTTTCCGAAAGCAATTGACCCTTCTTCAGAAGCGATCTACCATTTGTGGGAAGATATCAATCATTTTCCAAAAGAGGTATGCTATTTCCAAAAAAGGTCGTCGATTGTTTTCTCCAAATTACAATGACTCTAAGTTACAATAGACCTACTCGGTTAGGCTCGATAAATCATTTGTCAGTGATTGATAAGACAACTATTTGCAGAATGAGCAATCAGTTCATGATGGGCTCGTGGGATCTTGCGGAAGACATTAAAGGAAAATGATGTCATGAAGTATTTTCCTTGCAAAAAAACTAGTCTACGCATAATATAATAGCAGTAAGGAAAAAACCATTTCCTCATTTCGAATTTTCTACTCTATGAGCGTTTGTAGGAAGAGTAGAATAGGAAGTGTCAATTTTTTTTCTCTTCCTATGTGGAACGGGTCAACTTATCGTACACATGTGGATTTAAACGGGCCCAGAAATTGTTGCGGCCCACAAAAATAAAACAGGTTTCTTTAAGCCCTTTTATTTCTCGGCGTTGGTAAGATATAGGATAAATTGCAAGTTTGGTCACTTAAATTTCTATAAAAGTTCATGTTTGCCACTAAGATTAATTTATTCTATTTGTGGTCACTTAAATTAGTTAAACGGTTCAACTTTGATCACTGGTCGTTACCTTCCGTTAGTTTCCGTTAACGGCGTCAGTGAAATGGTGATGTGGCTAACAGAATTGCCTTGTCACCCATTTTTAACCAAAAAAAGTCAAAACCCTACCCGCCACATAATAAAATCCTGCCATGTCATTAGAACCTAACCTAACCCCTAATACGACCCTCTTGACCTAACCTCCCATAATCATTCCCAATTTCCTCATCCCTCTTCTCTATAACCCCCTTGTCCCCGAGCTCTACAAACAGAGACCCGACAGCGGCTCCGGTCTCCCTCCTTCCTGTCCGCGATAATCTCCAGCATCAAGGCCTGCATTAGAGACTGTTACGACCTCACCAGAAGTGTGCCGACCTCTCCTACAGAGGGAAGCGATTTGGACGTTTTGGCTGCCCACACTGTCAAGGTTTTCTATTGCAATAAATTAATCTTTTCTTTCACTATTTTTTATTTTCAAATAGAAAGTTTAAAAGTAAAGAATAATTGGAGTTTGTCATGGGTCGGTCAAACAAGCTAAATTTCAAGTTTTGACCCGTTTTGATCTAGCCTAATTTATAATCACATGGTTCCCTGATACCTAATAAAAATCTCAATCCAAACCAGTTCGGCAGCTGAGTCCGTGTTTACCACCATTTTATAGGGATACAGGAACGGCGGTTCCTATCCCAAATCGTGTTGTTCGTTCTTGATTTCTTTAGATTTTATCATGACCTGGCAAAAACCAGAAAGCACAATGACGAAATGATGAAAGTTTTATCAAGCAAATTAATCGACCAACGGGCCGAGTAAAAGCTAGCAACGATTGTGAGATGCTCATTTTTCGAAGACCGGTGGGATATGCGATTTTTTATTCGATTTTCTGGAATTCGGTTTCTATAAAACTTACTCCACCTCATTATATTACCAGAAATAATATTGTTTCACAAGGTAACAGGTACTTGATTTTAGTTCATAAGGCTGATTTTTGATTCGTTGCATCATCCATGTCTCTTTCCTGCTAAAATTCACTATCTTTATCACGTGTTTCCCAAAAAAAAAACTATACAACAATAAACTATACACCCCATTACATTCTCAAATTTCATACCTCACCTTCCTCCGGCCAACTGGCCAGGACCCACGACTAGTAGAAAGTACACAACAACGGAAAATAATTAAATACAATTTTTTTTTGTGACGGTAGCAGGAAATTTTCGGTCGGGTGTAACCTCTGTAATGTAGAAGTAAGGACGATTCAAAGAAGACAAATACGGAAATTTGGAACGGGTCAAGAAAAAGGAGCCTTTGTCCCCCAAATTATGGAACTTTGTCCACCACATGTTTGATATTTAAATTAGTTAAAATCGTGACTTACAAGTTACAATCCATTCGTATAGATCATAGTTAGTAAAATACGATATGAGAAAGTTACGTATAAAATACGTACGGGTATTTTACTTTGCCTCTAAGCTAATGTTACATAGTACGTTAATAGTCATAAATATATAAAAATAAATTATTTTACAATAGTACGGATACGGAAGTTTTAAACGGATAAAATACGTACGGATACATATACGTATATTATAAGGAGTATTTACTAACTATGGTATAGATACAATATTGAATCTATTACATAATAGAATCATATGACTTTCATCAAATATAATTGAACAATTTAGATTCGAGCTCGTGGAAGAATGAGTTTCGCTCAATCTAAGAGCGATTGGTGGTTTTTTTATAAATAAATAATTATCATTACAATTAAAGGAGGAGAAACAAATAAACATCACGAGGATACATGACCAATTGCTTTAGACTGATAACATGAGTTCAATCCAACCTAAATCAAGTGCTGTCAAGACTCAGGAAATGACGACACTCTTCATAATACACATAGTTAGGTTCGTCATACTTCAAAATTGATGATTCCTTTTTTCATTCACAAAACCGAAAATTCTAATATTACGAGAAGTGTCTTCTATCAATTTATTACCACGTTGTACCGTCTAAACCACAAGTAACCAAACTAATATGTTTTTGCGACACAATATGAAT